CTCCGGGTCTTCGGCGGCAATTCTGTGGCGGGTCCTTCACTCACTCCGGGATCTGCCGCCGAAGTGCCCTGAAGACTGGGAGTGCGGAAGGACCCCCCCGCCGCAGAATTGCCGACGACGACCGGGAGCGTGGAAGGACCCCCGCCTAGGGCACCAAAAACCCTGGTGCCGCTCCTGGGCAAGGGCCCTTGCAAAGATCTGCTTTCTTCTGCTCCCTCGTTTGCACGTGCAGCCCGGGCAGGTTTGCAGAGCTGGGCTGGTGCTGTAGTTAATACCAGAGCCACAGCACCCTGGGAGCAATTGCTTTCATTACCAGCAAGAGCCTCCTTAAACGCTTAATTAAAGATCCGCGGCGGGAGACACTGCCTGGCTGGAAAGCACCCAGATCGTGAACGGCCAAGCCAGGATGAACAGCGAGCTGAGAGCCGAGTGGTCCATGAACTGGGGTTTGGGAGACAGGGCGTTTCGCTGTACCTTACACTGGAAGGAGCAGAGACTCTTATTATGTGTTGTTTGTACAGCACCCAGCACCCTGGGGCTCTGAGCTGACTGGAACTGTCATTTTCAAGGCTGACAGGCCCAGGGGCAGCTTCATCCTCTGGAGATGTTTGCACAGCCATTGCACGTCTGAGCCTGGAGTGACGGGCAAGGCATGCAGGGTGACTGACTTTGTCTGAGCTTGGAGTGACGGGCAAGGCATGCAAGGTGACTGACTTTGTCTGAGCCTGGAGTGACGGGCAAGGCATGCAGGGTGACTGACTTTCTCCCAAGATTGGTGCGCAGTTCTTTTGCTGCCGCTGCCCCTTGCTAGGCGTGTTATCAGCGCCCTGCTCTGGGAGCTACCGGCTGGCAGCTCCCGCACAGCTGCCTGGCATGGTTCGAGCTGGCACACGGAGCTGTGTTGGTGCAGAGATAAGATCGGATCACGTGTGGCAGATGGTTTTGTACCCCCCCTGCCAGTGCCGGGGTGTGCGTGGGAGGATCTGGGGCTGAGGGAAGGCCTGCAGCGAGGGAGGGGATAGGTTTGCAGAGCAAAAAATAAACACACTGAAACCGAGGGCTGGGCCAGCCGGCGTGAGATCAAGTGAGAAGCAGCCCACACCTTCCCTCTGAGGAGGAACTGATCTGTCCCTGGAGTCCTGGCTCCCAGTCCTCTGCTCCTACCACTCAGCCACACTGCTTAGTTGTGAGACAGTCCCGTCCCCCTGTCTCCCCCCACCCACCACAGGGCCTCAGCCCGCAGGAGAGCAACAGCTGAACTGGTTTAAGTCTGGCTAAGATCCAGTGCAGTAGGGCACCTGCTCCCCCCGGGTGCTGGCCAGAGCCCCCAAGGGGAGGAGGGTATCACTGAACTCCAGTGACACAAGAAACTCTCTGCTCCCTGCTCCTGGGCCAATGAGGGGCCGAGTCGCAGAGGCGATGGAGGAGCGCCACCATGTGGCTCCTCTCAGCCGCCGCAAGTGGAGTGGGGGAAGGGAAGGCTCTCTGGAAGGAGCCAGAAAGCCAGAGTCTGGTTTCAGTGGGCCTGTCGGTCATGTGAGAAGAAGCCGGGGTGCTTTCCGCACCAGCTGTCCCGCCCGGTGTGGCTCGGGCAGGGTGACAGCCCTCATGCTGCAGGGCACAGGGACAGGAAGAATTCTTCTCCCCCCCGATCCTACCACGTTGTGCAATGCGCTAGCTGCCGTGCTGAGTTACGGAGGTACTGGAAGCAGGATGTCACGGCACCTCTCTTCCGGTGAGATCAGGCAATCTCTGAGCCCTAGCCAGCTGCTCTCAAAGTGACAGGGCCCAGCACAGACACCAGAGGCCGGGCTGGCTTTGCCCATGTGCCTGGGAGCCCAGAGGGCTGGGTAGCCCCCGAGATGAGTGCCTCTTTCTCCTGACCACGGTCCCAACCCGGAGCCCATCTTGGCTCATTTGGGAGCCACAAAGACCATGTTGCTGGGCGGCTCCGTGCATTAGGCTGAACAGGAGAGATTACAAACCCGGGGAACAAAAATCACCAGGGTGGGAAATGCAACTAGTGTAGGGGAATCACACACCAATACTCTGTGGGAGGCATAACACGGAGACGCTGAAATAGACCCAGAATGGGGAGGCGTTTGCTTTCTCTGTCATGTCCCCCACGGGCAGGGGCGTCTGTCTGCAGATCCCGGTAGTGTGCCCCAGGGCACGGCCCGATACCTACCATGGCACCAATCCCCACTTCCATGCAAGTGGGAATGAAGCTGCCCACCCTGAACCCGCTCTGCCGGCACCATATGCAGCGGCCCGTCTGCTCAGCTCACCCCGGACACAGTACCCAAGGGCTCCAGACTCTGCCCAAAGCCTCCTGGGGGATTGGCTCTCGCTTCCTCCATGCCAGTGATTTTGCCCAGGTGGCTACACTCCACTGAGACAATTTAAATAAAATTTAAATTTAAATGAATGGAGCTATCCTATCTCCTAGAACTGGAAGGGACCTTGAAAGGTCATCGAGTCCAGCCCCCTGCCTTCACTAGCAGGACCAATGCAATGGGGAGGCTCACGTGTGTGGGAACCTCCCCAGGAGCTGAGTTTAGACCCTGGAACTCAGGGCCACATGAGCTAAGGATCACCACAGACGGCTGTTCAGAGCTAAATGCAAACCCCCCTCTCTTCCTTCACATGCATCTGTAACTGCATAGACACCCAGCCAGCCCCACTGAGCCATACACAAACCAAGGTGCTTCTCCTACAGACCGGGCAGTCACAAACAGCTGGGATCCCTGGACCCTCAGCTTGGGGGGGTGGGGTGGCGGGGGTGGAGATCCCGGAACCCCTACATGGTGTGTGTTGATCCCATCAGCTCAATTTCTGGGGCATTGGCATCCCCTCCTGTCCCATACCCTGCCCTGCAGCCTTGCTTGTGGCATCAGAAGATCAGTGCCCGGCACTGAGGGTGCCCGGGTGCTGTTGTTTTGGGGCCCCATTACTCACACCTACAGCTTAAAGCCAGGTGCAGGTACCCAGTCCAAAGTGCCTCAGTGCATCAGCCGTCAGGTGCTCAATCAGCCACTCTCCAAGGGGGGCAAACAACGTGCAGATGGGCACAGGAACGCGCCATCGGCCCAGCAGGAACCATAGCGGGCCGGCCCTTTGTTCTATTCCTGGCTCCCACGAGCACGGCTTCCCTCTCTGCCCTGGAGCGCATCGCTTGGCCGCTCTGTGCCGCAGCTTCTCCACCGCGCACCATGGCCATGACGCTGCCTGTCTCCCAGGGGGCGCTGGGAGGCCCAGGTCAGCCATCTCCAGTGCTCAGCTGAAATCGAAGTAATTAATGCTAACACAGGATGTTTGTCAAGCGTCAGCGAGCACAGTTAGTACAGGCTACAGTCAGTATACCAGGCTCACTCAATCACCACTGGGATGCAGCCACCTCTGGGGTGGGCTGCAGCAGCTGCTCAACGGTGCACAGCAACACTCCACAACCACTTAGCATAGGAAGCCACAAATAATACTGGGGCTGGGTGAAGCAGCAGGAGGGTGGAGTTTAAAGCCCTGGGGGAGCGGGGGTTTAAAAGGAGGAAAATAGCCTTGCCCAGCATACCGGAAAGCAAATGTGACCTAAAAGGCTGGCGCGTGCCACCTTGAGACTACGTTGGCGTGCGTGGGACCCTGCAGGGCTAAGTCCCAGAGCAGAAGACCGTGAAGTGCAGCGAGCGCTGTCAGGAAACAACGGAGGAAACGCGAGTGCAGAATTTCTGCTCTTCGGCCGGGTTGGCCTCTGTTCAAAATTCAAGGCACTCGCTGCCAGTTCCAAGGAGCCGTGGGCAGGGAAAAACCCTCTCCCTGCTCCCAGGGGAGCGAGGTTAGTGAGTGGCCTGTCAGGCAAACTCAGGCCATAACCCGACATGGTACAGGCTACGTGGCCTTGGCGACGCTAGACTGTGCAATGAGTTGGTGAAGACGGGCAGACAAGACACCTTCAAATGCCAGCCTAGACGTAGCCACATCGGGTTTCGTAAATTGTATGGAGGGCCAGTTAGGGGAGGGGGTCGTGGCCTGGCCCCCACCTCCTATCTGCTCCCCCCCCCCCGCCCGGGACTCGATTGCTGTTATTTCTCCATTGAAATATTTACAGGGCACTGAGGAACTGTGGTGGTAGAGTCCAGATAAAGAGATAGACAATGGATATGTCTAGGGATGGACGGGTCACTGCGGAGTTCATTCCCCTTCCTTCCCTGACGACCCCTCTGGGACCCCTGCCCCATCCACACACACCCCGCTCCCTGGCCCCTGGCCCCCGCCGCCCCATCCAACCCCTCCTCTCATTCCTGACGGCCCCCCTGGAACTCCTGCCCCATCCAACCATCCCTTCTCCTTGTCCCCTGACTGCCCCCGGAACCCCTGCCCCTGATTGCCCCCTGCCGTCCCATCCAACCCCCCTCTCTTTCCTTACTGCCCCCCGGGACCCCTGCCCCCATTCAACCCCCTGTTTCCCCCCCCCGACCACCATCCACACCCCCTGACCACCACCCCAAACTCCCCTGTCCTCTATCCAACCCCCCCGCTCCCTGCCCCCTTACCGCTCTACCTGGAGCACCGGTGGCTGGCGGTGCTACAGCCACGCCGCCCCGCTGGAGCCGGGCCACGTCGCCGCCGCCGCTGCTGCCACGGCGCAGCACAGAGACCGGGTCAGGCCGGGCTCTGCAGCTGCGCTGCCCCAGGAGCTCACAGCCCCGCCGCCCAGAGCCCTGCGGCGGAGCGAGCGAGCTAAGGCTGCAGGGGAGGGGACACAGCAGGGGAGGCTTGGGGGCTAGCCTCCTGGGCCAGGAGCTCAGGGGCCGGGCAGAACAGTCCTGCAGGCTGGATATGGCCCACGGGCCATAGTTTGCCTGCCCCTGAACTAGTGTTCCCAGGTGCAAACTATTGCTCTACTATTCAATCAGCGGCTTCATGTCCAACCCAGCAGGGATCCTGCCAGGGTGCTGGCTGCGGGCCTGAGCCGTGCACATCAGAGGAAGGAACCAGCAACTTACTTTACGGAGATGGAGAATTCCCCCGGGGCGCTCTCGCTCTCGCGGATCAGGAAAGCTCCCAAGTGCTTGCGTTTCAAGAGCATTTCTTCGGCCAGATGCCTGGAGATCCTGCCCGCGTACCACCTGGAGGGGGGCACACAAAGAACTGGAGCTGAGCAGGAGATGGCAGGTCTGTGACCCCCCCCCCACACAAACCAGCAACAAAATGGACCAGACCCAGATGGGGCAGGAAGGTGTGAGATGATGCTGGGCATTAGGTTACATTGAAGAGGGGGCCTCTGGCTGGACTGTGCAGAAAGATTTTAATGCCAGCTCGTTAGCCTTCCTGCATAGCCCAGGTCAGAGATCCGGCCCCATTGACTCCCATATGGAGCCCAATAATTGGGGAACAGAGGCAGCCGACATGGTCATGCAGCAGCTCGGTGGCAGAGCTCGGATTAGCATCCAGGTCTCCTGAGTTGCCGTTCAGTGCCCTACCCACTAGACCAGGCTGCCCCTCGGAGTCCTAGAGCTCAGGCACCTGCCGGAGCCTTGGCCACAAGCTGGTGTGGACGCATTGCTCTAAAACGCAGCCCTCTGGAGACGCAAAGGGTCGAATGGGACATGGACGCTGAACAACCTTCTTTCGCCCCAGAGAGGATCTCTGACTCTGTTCAACGGTCCCTGAAACGCAGCCACCTCTGGGGTGGAACACAGCCCTGTGTGGAACAGGCAGTGCAGATTCGCGTGTCTGGTTGAAATGGTGGGGAAGATGTTAGAGCGGGGCGTGGGTAAAATGATCCCAATCTGTTCCCTTTTGTGCAAGCCTCGCAAATCTATAATTACAGCCCTTCCACCTCCGCTGCACCGTGACAATGGCCTTCCGACGCACGGGTGCTGGTTTGTAGCATCCTGGCCACAGCAGCAGCAGCTTCCCCGTTGCTATTTGTACAGCACACAGCCCCGCTCGCCCCATTGTTTATATCTTCAGTTTGTGGTTACCGGGACTCGAACCTGGCCAGTGCTGGTGCCTGGCATTGCAGGGCTAGCTGACCTGCAGGGCCGTGACGCTGGCTTGTCTGGCGGGGAGGGGGCACAGGAAGAGGGTGGACAATTAGACAGAGACGGCTTGGCTGTGTCATCCGGCTACCCCTGGCAGGAGCACAGGGTGTGTCTTAGGTTGGATTCCACCTAGAGGGAGGAGACCGTGCGGAGGACAGCGACCGACCGAGCGCAGGACGACCGCAAAGGATGTTGCCGTCACGGGGACAACTTAGGGTGGAGTCCAACATCTTGCTCGGCACAGAGCACAGTGGGGAAAATGGGTTGCTTCGTGGGCCACTCGGCAGAAAAGACTCAAAGGATCTGTCCACGCTGCACCCTACACTCGGGTTCTGACTCTGGTGTGAGCCCAAGCCCCCCTTCCATCCACGTGCAAATCAGTCTGATTTGGGTCCAACTGTGATTTGGGGCCAAGCCCTGTTATTGTGCAGTGTGGACGCAGCTCAAGCTGCAGGCCCAAGTCAGGTCTGCGCAGTGCAGTTAGCACGGCAGTGAGACCCGGGACCAGCAACTGTAAATCCAGGTTTGCAGTGCAGGGTGGACACTCAAGCCCGGCTGCGCAGTGCAGTTAGCACGGCAGTGAGACCCGGGACCAGCAACTGTAAATCCAGGTTTCCAGTGCAGGGTGGCCACTCAAGCCCGGGCTGGGAAACAGTGAGCCCCACAAGCCTGGGTCCCCTGGTGGAAGGGCAGCGACCCCCCGCCCCCATTCTCCAACCAGGGCCCTGTTTCTCCTGCCGCTCCCCCGCTTAGATCCTGCTCCCTGGTGTGTCAGGGCGGAGACGGGGTGTCTGGGGATGTATCAAATCAGGAGAGAAGGGGGAGCTTGTAGCAGAGGAGGGGGGAGCCCCTTGGAGCCTCTGCCCCTAGCAGGGGGGTGCGAGGGCTGTGCATGCTGAGGGGATGGATCTGTTGTCCCTGAGGCTCTAAAGAACAGAGCTAAGCCATCCTGAAGGGACGGGCTGAGCTGGGGAGAGCGCAGGGGAAGCTGGGGTGGGATCAGTGGGGAGGGAAGCAGCGGGTATGCCCAGGAGGGGACCCTATGGAGCAGCGAGCAGGGACGAGAAGGCGTCCCTAGCTGGGAGAGGAGATGGGGCAGCATACGGGGAAGGGGCACCACCCCGTGCTATTAGCTTTAAACCCAAGCATGGCTTGAGCCCTCACTGTGGAGACGCGACAGCCGCTGACAGCACCTGGGATGATGGGAACCCTGGCGATTTTGACAGGCAAATGTTCTGCTCACCAGTTAGTTTCACTTCTCTTTATGGTCTGTTCCACTCCCTGGCTCTGGGGCTAAAATGGTCTCTGAGGTTGGGGCTGCAGACGCTGCGGAGTGGGTTAGATCTAGACAAAAGCCTTTGTCCCACGGAATGAAAATAACTCCCCGTCTAAGGGGACGTGGCTGTCGGGCCTCGGGTTTGCAAATCCTGTGTTTGCTCAGTTCTTTAACCAGTCCTAGAACGGGGTGTCCCTGCGACTCAAGCAATAGGGAGAGAATCAGGATGGAGAGAGCAAGAACCCACATAAACCCACCCCTCCCTGGGCAGGCCAGGCTCCGGCTGGAGGCACTGGTGACCCACTGCCATTGGCTGGCCGGGCCCTTTTGATTTTATCATGCCGTGCCGCAGCACCCGACCATTGACCGTGTCCGGCCTGGACCTCATCACTGAAACTCACACGCGAAATCCCTACGCCCATCATGGGATGTGGGGGAGGAGGACACGGGGACTTCGCAGAGGAGGGGAAGGCCTGGCTGCCTGGCAAGTCATCTTGCCATCTCAGCTGGTTACCACCCTGCCCGCTGCCCGGCCAGAGACCGGGAAACTCAGCCACAGAGAGAGGCAGGGCCAGGGGCTGATTGCTTCCTGCATGAAACACCCCCATTGGCCTCAGCACCGCCCGGGGCGGCCCCTACCAATGGGAGTTAGGCACCCGGTGAGGATCTGGGCCCCAGCTCAGAGAGGGAGTCAGTGTCCGAGCTGGGGTTGGGCCCCTGAGTCCAGACCCCTGCGCTCAGGCCAATAGGCCGTGCCCCAGAAGAGACGGATGGAGACTCCCGTGTTTCAGCAGGCGCCGGGGTGCCCCCAGAGCTAATGCTGAGCCTGCCGAGCGGCCCTGGGCTGGCGTTACTGAGAGGCACAGCGTCTTCTCTCTTTCCCTGGCTCCAGCACACGACTCCCCCTCTCCTCCCCGCAGGGGGAACGCACCGAGGAGTCGTGGCCCCCTGACCCCAGGATGCAAGGAGAGAAGCGTGATCCGGGGCGCAGAGTTGTTTGCTGTTCCCGATCCTGGTCCAGTCTGATCCTGGCTGCTACACCCAGGCCAGGCCCGAGTGGCGCCGCTGCCCAGCCCAGCCTGGCGTCGTCTGAGAGCCAGAGAGAACCGCAGGGTCCCGTGTGTGGGGCGGGTCCCCCAGCCCCTCTTACTCCCCTCCCCCTTTATGTTCAGCCCAGCATAACCCCTGGCTCTGCCGCAGCACGGGAGCTGGGGCGGGGAGTGGATTGGGTGCCTCGGCTGCTGCCGGATCCTGGTGATTTTGCAAGGCTGCGATCGTGCTCCCGGCTGAGAAAGACGAGCTGTGCAAGCCGGCTGTGCAGAAACACCGACAGCCCCAGCCACATCCTGTCACTCATCTCCCACGCTGAGCTCTGCGCCCTCTCCTTTCCTGTGGCGGCTGCTTTATCTGGGGTGGCACATCCCCCGGGGTCGGCAGTGCAGGGGCGGGAGTGGTTCTGAGGGCCACTGTGCATGTTGGGGTGGCAGGCGGCCACCCCGTCTGGGCAGCGTTGCACAGTTTGGGGAGCACTCCTTCAGCGCCTCGGTTCCTCTCGCCCCTTGTCACTCCTGAACATCCCTGCACATGAGTGCTGGTGGGCTGGGAAAACCCCCGGGGTCATGGGCGGACAGGGCGCCAAGAATAGCCTTCCCGATTCCTTTACAGCGTTACAGACCTCCAATCAGGGGGCGGAACCGACGCCCTGTGACTCAGGTGCCCAATCTCACGCCTCAGATGAGGACAAACCGATAGTGGGACAGTCCCCGAGGCCGACATGCACTGGGGTCAGTTGTTGATGGTGCAAGAGGGAGTCACTAGTACAGGTGTGAAAAGCAAAGCCCGGGCACAAGCGACTTGCAAACAGAAAAAGGGGCTTAATGCTTCAGACTTGGCCGGATCGGCTGAACAGTTTAGAGGAAACATCCTCTGGGCTGGACCCCAACTGATCAGTGCTCACACCTGGGCAGTGGGGGGCAAAGGTGCCTGATGCCAGGATGCAAGGAGAGACGCGTGATCCGGCTCACCCTTGTCCCCGCAGGGGCACAGAGTTGTTTGCTTTTCCCGATCCTGGTCCTGCCCTGAGTCCCAGCAACTGCCAGGGGCTTAATTAGCCCCAGGCACAAATTAGAGTAGCCCCAAGGTTGCTGTAGTTTGTGCCAGTGGAGAAGAGCTTCCAAGGAGCTGCTCTATTGGCCAGAATCGCCAGGATACCCCTTAACTAGCCTCTTAGAGCAGCTTTCAACCCTCTTTGTGGTGCTGGAGCAGTGCGAAGGGCCGTGGATCTCTCGGCTAGTAGGAAGGGGTGTAAGATGCGGTCGCATTAGTGGGCGTTGTGTGCCACTGGCGAACGAGTGGTACCTGCCGTTCTGCCAGTGTCCTGGGAAGGGAAACCTCGGTGCCAGGGGATGGGTTCTGGAATCTTTGTGCCAAAGGTGGCACCTCGCTTGACCAGTGAAGGATAGACTCTCAAAAATACTTCACCTTTAATACAATGTGTTTTCCAACCACAGATTACATCAACGCTTGATGACCGAGAGTGTCATTAACCCTGGATTAACATGGGGGGGGGCAGGGAAGCTGAAGCGCAGAGACGTAAGTGACCAGCTCGGTCCGTGCCTCAGTTTCCCCTTCTGTGAAATGGGGCTCATGAGTTATTTTACAGGCTTGGCGGATCACAGCTGCCAATGTGCTTTGAGACCCTCTGAAGGAAGAGGCCTTGCACAGAATTACCAAGCCCTATTGCTCGTTATTTCAGGGGGGGAATATGGTCATTTCATTTCGTGCTCAACTGCTACCTTCTGAAGCGGGGTTGGCTGCCTGGTGGCCCAGGGCAGGCCTGCTTTGAACCCTCCCAGGCCTGTGCGAGGTGGAAGCTCAGGAAGGTACTTACGGGTGTGGCTTGACTTTGATGTAATTCTTCGGGATGAATCCTTCTGAGCCGTACAGCTCGGCTTTATACCAGTTCTGGTCGTCTTCCATATTCAGGATCTAAGGACACAAGGGAAGAGAACGTGCTTTTGAAACGTTGATCTCACTCTGAGCTATTTCAAACAGAGAAAACGACTGCGACCTCCCAGGGCTGCCAGCTCCAGGAATCGAATGGGGCAGGATTGGAGCCGGCCCACAACGGAAAATTTTTTTCATAGGAAAAATGAGGTTTTGTGGAAAACAATATTTTTTGTTTCTTGCAACGATAATTTGATGAGGTTGTTTGTTTGTTGGCTGTGCCTGTCTTTAAAACAGGCTTGATCCAAGTTCTGGGGCTGAAATCCCCTGGACTTTGCCACATTCCGAATCCAGATCCCAATTTTGCCAATCACGTCAATTGCTAGGTCTATGGCTGATGAACTCAAACAGCAATTTCTGTGCTACTGCCCAGGCAGATACAAGCAGGAGGGAACATTATGGGCAGCCGTGAGCATCGATTTGGGATTTCTAGGAAGCCGGTGCAAATTGCACACCGGCCCTTTAAAATCCCTCCTGTCTTGTTTTTCTTTCTTTACAGGAACTCGGTGTTATTCAATGGAGCGCCTCCTGCAGGGCAGGAAAACCCTTGGTGGACAAGTGGGATGTTTAAAGGGCCAAGACAACAAGTGTGGCCCTGGGGTCACAAGTTGCCAGTGCAGCAAAGTTTGGATACTCCTGCAAGAGACAAGCACAGGTGCCCATGGGGTACAGCTGTTCTATGCCAACAGCTCACGTGACAGACAATATCTTACATGGGCATCTAAAGAAAGATAAATAGATCCATAGATGGACAGACAGATGTGGCGTTAATCTGGGCAGCTCTATTTTAACCAAAAGGAAATGTCCCCATATAAATAGAAGGGCTGATGCCCAGTTCAGCTTTCACAATGTTTTCCAGTACTCCTACGCAATGGGGAGCTCTGTTCAGTGCAGCTGTGCAAACAGGATTTGAAACTGTTCACATCACACTGGGCACGAACCTGCTGCTGCTCAGATCGGCTTGACCCTGGGCGCCAGGTTTGTATAATTTTTGGTGGTGCCCAGAACGGGTCCAAGCAGAGCTGGGGGCAAACGCCCTGGGCCCTGCGCTTTGGGGGGGGTCCTGCATTTCAGGGGGACGCGGGGTCCAGGGCGGCCTGGGAGGTTAGCGGGGAGCCTGGCGCCGGCAGCAGTGACCGACCCAGCCCCAGCCCGCCCCGCCCTGCCCCGCCGGTTCCCGGTGTCGCTTGGGGGAGGGGGCGGACGCTGGAAAGAGGCGGGGCGGGGGCTTGGGGAAGAGGTGGAATGGGAGCGGAGCAGGGGCAGGAAGAGGCGGGGTGGGACGGAGTGGACTGAGGCCTGGTCACTTGCTGCTGCTGGGTCCAGGCCCCCTGCTAAGCCCCCAGGCTTCCCTGGACCCCACGTCCCCCTGAAGCGCGGGGCCTCCCCGGTCCGTCCTATGGATGGGACGGCTCTGAAAATCTAAACCCAAACATTGGTGGAGCCGGACCCACGTTCCTGAATATTGGTGGAGCAGGGGCATCACAGGCCCATATAACTCGCCGCCTATGGGCTTGCCGTATCTTCAAGGCCATGGGAAAGAAGACGGGTGTGAACCCGGGACCCTGCTTGAGAAGATGCGGGAGAGAGGAGTGCTGGCTGGAGCCAAGCCCCGAGCGGCTAGGTACTGTGCGAACGTCGCTTACATGGCTGCCCCAAGGCACTAGCTCTGGGCTCCCTCCCCACCCATAGACATCTGCTGATGCACGTCAACCTTGACTTGCAGCCCCCTGCCATTGCACTCCTGGGTTCCCTCCCCACGCAAGCAGCTCCTGACCCACTGCCCCCTTGCCATCCCCACACGGAGCTCTGCCGCTGCCCCGACCCGCAGCCCCTCTGCTAGCTGAGACATGGCTCTTCCCAGAACAGAGGCTGCCATGGGTCATGCTGAGCTGTAGCAATCTGAGTGGTGGTTTGGGTACTGATGACAACCTGCATTTGCACCCACGACCTGCACCGTGTCTGCATGCTGGACTCGAGAGGTGAATGGGCATTTTAAACAGCACCGCGCTGAACAAACACAAACCAGGCTTTACCTCCAAAGCAAAGCAACCCCCCAACCCTGCTGGCAGCGCTCAGACCTGCGGAGGGGGGCCAGGTCCGAAGGCGGATGCTGGGGTCTCTGGGAACAGACCCGGGGCTCCAGAAACGCTTCTGTGCAAGGCAAAGGGGTCAAGACCTGGGGGGAGCCTAGTACAACCAAGGCTGTGCCTGAGCAAATGGACCGGGCTGACCCCCTGTGGGTGGGACGAGGAGCTGAGATTGGCCTTAACACCGTGAGATTTTAAACATCCTGAACGTGGGGCTCTTTGCTTTTGCCTGCTGGTGTTTGTGCTCTTAGCACTCACGTTTTCAGCCTTTTCTCAGCAGCCACGAGGGCTAGACACGTTCCGGGTTTGTTCTTTCAAACGCAAGCTGAGATTCTTACGCGCTCCCCTGACTCCGGGAGCTGGGGCTTTAAGAAAACCACCACATATCGCGAGACTTGTGATCCAGGCACAAGACTTGGCGATGCTGAGGAGGGCACTTTCCTTTGGCACGTTTTCTATTGCTTTTTCCTGCCTTGTTGTAACTGGGAATTCCCCTATGGCCCTCAGGAGCCGATTCAGGAGACTTGCCGACCGTGGGAATCACAGAATCATAGAGATGTCGGGCTGGAAGGGACCTTGAGAGGTCATCTAGACCAGCCCCCTGCATTAAGGCAGGACCAAGCGAACCTAGACCAGCCCTGACAGGGGTTTGTTCAACCTGCTCTTAAAAACCACCAGTGATCCTATAACCTCCCTTGGTAACCTATTCCAGAGCTTAACTACCCTGAGAGTTAGAAAGTTTCTCCTACTAACCTAAATCCCCTTTGCGGCAGAGTAAGCCCATTCCTTCTTATCCTACCTTCAGTGGACATATTCCCATCCTCTTAACATATTTGAAGACTTTTATCAGGTCCCCCCCTCAGTCTGCTTTTCTCCAGATGAAACATGCCCAGTTTTTTTTAACCTTTCCCCAGAGATCAGGTTTTGCGAGGGGCGACTGTCTCCTTCTCCCGGGAGAGGGTGGCCCTCTATGCCCGACACCAGCAGCCAGAAACATTGGGCTGAGTCTCAGCTGCATTGACAGTGCCCTGGTGGATTCTGGGACAGGGAACTGGGAGGAATCCCGCTCTGTCTGGGTGAATTCGTTTTTTTGAGTCTGGATCCATGGGTGGGGCAGGAGGGGAAGAGGGGAATTTCCACTCTGGATTCTGATTCATGCATCCCTTCTAAGAATGAGGCGTCGGGCTCAGAGTCCAGAGCTACCAGAGGCGGAACCTATTTCACTGCCATGGGGCTTTCAAAGAAATCGCGTCAATGGGGAAATTCCACCCTTCTCATCGGGGCGACGGGGCCAGGTGGCTCGCTCATTGCTGAAGCTGGGGAGCTCTCCAGGCAGGGGCTGCAGCAGGCTCAGCCCTTTTGCACACTTCCTCGTGAATTGAGCGCTCGTGCACGTGAGACGCTCGTGACAGCACTGGCTTGAACCAAACATTACGCTTACCGATGGCTCTGCCAATACCCCAGCCCCTGCCGTCCCGAGCCTGGGCTGCCGGTGCCCCTCAGTCCTGATCTGGCATGAACCGGCTGGTACGGCGATGAGCTCTCCTGGCATCAGCAATGGGGACGGTTTGGGGGCTTTGTGCAAATGGAGGAGGCTGGGACCTGTCGGACTCCTGTTCCCGTCTGACCTCCTCCAGCCTTTGAACCTGAGTCTCTAGAAGGGAAAGGCTGGTGCAGTCACACTCCCGCCCCCGCCCACCAGACTGAGCCCCAATCACTGGGCTCGTAGCAGGCTGAGTTTCCTTGGGCCTCTTCCCCTCTGTCAGGATTGTCTCAACCCAGCCACACAGGAGAGAACGGGATGGGAATTGGCGTCTGAAGTTATTCCCCGGCCAGCCAGAGGGGGCGCTGCGGAGCAGCACCCCCAGCCCTCCCCAGGGCTCCAGTGTTGCATAGCAGGGGAAGTACCTGTTTGTAGCAAAGCAATGGAAAACTCTTGCCTTGCACGAGGGGGGCAGAGTTCCTGTCACAGCCCAGCGGGGTGGAAAAGGACACCGCTCCCCACCCTGAAACCAGACCAGGCAGTGTCTTTCCAACCGGGTGAGGGCTTGACGGAGCAACGTGTGTCTGCAAAAGCCAGCAAAGCGGCCACCTGCTTCTCCAGCAGTGCCCGGGCCCCTCTGCTGTCCTCTCCCGGCCCGGCCCAACGAGAGCCGAGTCACGTCTTAAATGCCGGCTAGCAAACGCGCTGGCTGGCTAATGGCTCGGCCACCATGTCAGACATCCAATTCCCTAGGGACCATGGACGGCCCTGAGCTGGCTGCTGAGTGTTGTGAGGGATGGAGGGTTATGTGGTTACTGCCAGGCGGTGCCCTGGGTTTGAAGGGAGACACTGATGGAATTGCAGCTGGTACCACAACCTAGTTCCTCCCCGGACCAGCTGCCAGGTCCTCAGCAGGGTCTCTGCTCTCTAGAGTTGCCCAGGAACAGCCAGGGTGGTAGCAGGGCAGATCTGAGGGGCGTCAGCAGGGCTGCCTGGGGAACCAGGGCTGGAACGGCAGGGGAGGCAGAGGAATGTGCCACAGCTACGTGGCCCCATGCCGACGCATGTGAGCGGCCGTTAGTCCCGTGAGCAACCCCCTGGGCTCTGCGGGGCCTCCCAGGTGAGCAAGGACTGCCAGACGCTCGCAGTGAGTTCTCCAGGCGTTTCTTTGCAGCTCAGAGGCAGGCAGACCCCAGGTGCGCAGGGAACGGCTCCCAGACTGGTCTCCTGTGCTTAGCCCAAGGCAGGCTCTGTCCTCCCCTCCTGCCTTTGGGCCCCTGCCTCATGGCTGACGTGATTGAGGGGTCAGCCAGGAGCCCACCAGGCCTAGAGCCAGAGGAGACCAGTGACAGCCCAGCCGAGGCAGCGTCTGCTCTGTGCTCCTGTTGCACAGCGGCTCCCAGCTGACTTAGCAACAGCCGAACGCGTGGAGCTGGCAGGCGGTTGCTTTGTTATTTCCTGTACTGACAGTCGGCGCTGGTGCTACCCTCCCAGCTATCTCCCACCTGCTCCCCCGGCCAGAGACAGGCCCTTGGCTGCATGGCTCTATCCATAAGTGACTCTGGAGAACGCTGGACGCGGAACAGGCAAAGCACCCGGGCTGACGCCAAACGACATTGGTACAAGGGGTTTCCTTCCCACACGTGGGTTTGTGCTTCAGGCACGTACCCAGAGACCTTGGTTCTATTCCTGCCTCTCTGCAGCCCGGGTAACCTTGGGCCGAACACTCCCTGCTGCTGCTTCTTCCTTGGTGAAATGGGGATAATGCCCCCGAATGCTAAATCCAGGCTGGGCCCTGTGCAGATGCCTGATAAGAGACAGTCTACAAAGACCCCACAGACAGGGCTAGTATCGGGCAGGTGGGGAACCGCCGCAGGGAGAGAAGAAGCAACTTGTCCAGCATCACCCAGGAAACGTGGAGCCTCGCTGGGATTTGAACTTCTGAGTCCCCTTCTACGACCTGACCCACCAGCCCATCTCTTTAGGGCAGTGGTGCTGTCACTGCAAACTGCTGCTGTTAATCTCATCCACACAGGGCACACAGAGAGGCTATTGGATGGTACGAGTGCTGCCCGGTTTTTATTGCCACAGGTCTGAGATGGCGGCATTGCTCACCAGGGGCGGAGCAGTGAGCCAGGTTTGCAGGTTATCCTGAGCAAGAGGCAGTCATTTTCATCAGCACCCTACCCCTTTCTATTTGATCGGTGCTGCTCTTGGAAAATCCAGGGGAACAAACCAAACAATGGATTGTGGGTGCAAAATTACATCTGCAAAAAAGAGGGCTAAGCTGAAAATCAATTATCTATCTATCTATCTATCTATCTATCTATCTATCTATTCCCAGACACTCTATCTATCTATCTATCTATCTATCTATCTATCTATCTATCCCCATTCATATCTAGCTCTCTAGCTGTGTTTATATCTCACTCATCACCATGATAGCTACCCCTATAAACTCAGACCAGCCCATCCATGCCATGTCTCCAGAGACATTATGTGATGTAGGCCATGCAAATGTTGTTATGGCCATGATTTCGGCATGCTGGCATGATTCAGGAGCGATCGAGCTCGGAGTGGGCCCCATTATTTATCACATAATAATTTGACATTTGCAAATGGTACTTTAACAGAACCGTTGCCAACTCTGGCATACAAAGTGCCTGGAAATATCACCATGGTATATGGAGAATTTTGCAAGCCCAAGCCTGGGGAAGAAAGACCTTTGGCTACTCCTACAAACTTTCTTCTTAAACAGTAAGTCAGAGCTCTACTGAGCTCAAAATGTTGGGGCCGTGTATTAATTCAGATCTAAAGCACAGGAGTAAATAAGTGTTCAGACGAATCAAACATCTCTTAAGAGATTTACTGCTCCTGTTTGTATTCCAGGTGTGTCTAGCGGCCCCAACTGAGATCTGTGACAGAAATCATAGAGATGTCAGGCTATAAGGGACCTTAAGAGCTCATCCAGTCCAGCCCCCTGCACTGAATCAGGACCAAGTAAACCCAGACCATCCCTGACCGGTGTTTGTCCAGCCTGTGCTTAAAAACCTCCAGTGACGGGGATTCCACAACCTCCCTACAGAACCAGTTCCAGAGCTCAACTCTCCTTAGAAAGTTTCTGCTGATATCCATCCTAGATCTCCCTTGTGGTGAACTGAGCTGATTCCGTCTTGTCCTATCCTCGGCGCACACGGAGAACCCGTGATTACCGTTCCCTTTATGACAACCTTTTACATAGTTGAAAACTATCAGCCCCCCCCCGCTTCTCTTCTCTAGTCGAATGCCCAATTCATTCAATCTTTCCTTTCCAATTTGTCCACATCTTTCCTAAAGTGTGGCACCCAAAATTGGACAGCGTAGTTCAGCTGCAGTCTCACTAGTGCCAAGCAAAGCCAGACAATTACAGCCTGTGTCTTACATACGACGCTCCTGTCAACACACCCCAAAACGACATTTGCCTTTTTTGCCACAGCATCACAGTGTTGACTCATGTTCCATTTGGGATTCCTTATAACCCCGGGTTCTTTGGAGCAGTACTACGACCTAGCCAGCGAGTCCCCATTTTGTAGCTGCGCATTTGATGTGTCCTTCCTCAGTGTAGTCCTTTGCACTTGTCTCTATTGACTTTCATCTTGCTGAATTCAGGCTGGCTCGCCAAGGTATCAAGATTGTTTTGAATTCGAATCCTTTCCTCAAAGTGCTTGCAACCCCTCCCAGCTTGGTGTCATCCGCCAATTTCAGAAGTGTACATTCCAGTCCATCCCCCAAGTCATTAATGAAAATATTGACTAGTACCAGGGCCATACAGACCCCCCCATGGGACCCCACTTGGCACATCCTCCCAGTTTGACAGTGAACTACTCACAACTACTGACTGGTTTCTCAACAGCTGCACACCCACCTTACAGTCATTTCACCTAGACCCCATTGCCCTAGTTTGTCGTTTGCGATTGGAGGCCCACACGTAAGAGACGGTTTCTGCCCAGAAGAGTTTACAGTAAAAACAAAGGGAGGGAGAAAGGAACTGAGGCCCAGAGAGATGGAGTGGTTTGCCCCTGGTTACAGGGGGAGTCTGCCACAGAGCTTGCAACTGAACCCACAACTACAGGGTCCTACTCCTGTGTCTAGACTGCAAGCCCATCCTCTTTGTCTCAGTCTCACTTTACACAGAGGAGCTCAGCTGTGTTGCATGACGCCTCCTTCCAAGCTCATCTGCTCTTTGCAGTCAGCCCTCTGCCAGGCCAGGTCTCTTTACAGATGTCCCGGGATCCCCCTCAACCCACAGACACCCCCCTGAACACTGCACGGGCAGACTCCTCTGTCCTCTCCCCAGTAAAGTCCCCAGGCAGTTTGGCCATGGACATCAGTGCAGCTACGATCGGTAGTGGCAAGCAATGCCTCCTAGTCCTCCCAGCCCTTCGGGGTGGTTGGGAGCCAGGCCATGAAAGGAACAAGCCAGTCCACACCACGGACGCTAGTAGCTTGGGCTGGACACCGCTTCTGCATCCTGCTGTGTCCACAGGGCTTACCCGTCTCTCTGGGCCACCACATCTCAGGCACCGTCTAACCCCGCACCCAGCACGACCTCTCCTTGCTGGTGCAGCTGGTCTCAGGTGCTTTCTAGTTCCCTCCTCGGTCCAATCCCAGCTTCTGGGCCAGTGCATTTCAGAGGCATCCTAGAGCCTCATCTGCCCCCAGATCTCCCCACTCCCTAGCCCTCCCCCACCACCGGGATCAGGAAACCTGCAGTCCCTCAGGGGGCAGAGGGTACCTTCAGCGTGTCCCCCTTGCGAAAGGGCAGCTCGTCCTTCTCCGTCGCCTGGAAGCTGTACAAAGCCACAGACTCCATCCTGCCCCCTTCGCTCCCCGGCTCGGCAGGGCTCCCGGCAGCGGTCCCCTGTCTCTCACCCGCTGCACCTGCCCTCGCCGCCGGTGTGAGGCTGGGGCGCGAGGATGCAGCTGCGGAAGGGAGGGGCCAGGCTGGCCCAGAAAGACCTGGGGGCTGTTCCGAGCGACGCTCAGGAAGAGGCGATGAAGCCCTTGGCTTCCTGTTTCTCGGGCTTGCAGACAGGCATTGCTGCTTTGATTTTTTTGTTTTCTTTTGTTTGTTAGTTGAGTGAGAGATTCTTCCTGGTGAGAAATCAGGCAGGAAGCCACTTGGCTGTCGCTGGGCGGGCCAGGAAGGGATCCCGGCCTCTGGCGGGAAGGGGAGAAGTTACATGGAAACTGATGCCCCTGGAGATAGGGAGCTGGGGGAAATGTTCTGGGGAGGAGAGAATGGGGCTGGGAGTCACGAGTCTCAGAGCCTGACTTAAAGCCCGTTGAATTCAAGGGAAAGACGCAGTCTAATGTGATTGGGCACTGAAGCAGCTCAGAATGCACTACCTACGGGCCAGCCATTTGGCTGATCTGTGCCTCAGTTTACCGTTCTGTAAAATCGGGTGATAGCAATGAGCTACAGTCCCTTGAGGGAGGGTGGCTGCAAGTCTGTAAAGTGCTTTGAGATCCTCAGACGAAAGCTCTTAGAGATGGGCCGGGTGTTACCAACACAGGGTGACTGGGGCTTTAAGGGAAGATGGGCCCCACTCAGCTCCCCTGGTGAGGAAATCAGGTCAGTGACTCAATCAGGGAGAGGCCTGGGTAGAGGGATTGCAGTGTGAGCGCAAGGCTCCTGCAGGAACGATCCTGAGACACTGGGGGCTGGGAGCGGCCCGCTAAAGCAAGGAATTGATTTAAACTTTGTACACTGGGGATTTTGACTTTTCTTTTGACCTTTGATAGGAATCAGCCCAGACCCTAAGGATGGGTGTCAGGAACAGAGCAAAACCTGGGTTTGAAGTTGATTGAGGAACCCTGAAGAGAAGGAAACCTACAGCGGGCTGCTGCAGAGCCACCCCTGGCCATGAGGGGACGCTGTTGGAAGCGGTGAACGGTTTTACAGACCCGCTGCAAAGCACGTTCAAGACAAGGGAAAGACTTAATGTTCTGAGAACATAAGCATCCAGCACCTTCTAGAAGAGAATTTGTTGGCAGCAGAACAAAACATCAATGTCTCACATACTGCGATGCGCAGCACGTTAGAAATGCAGACATTAGTTTCCAGATTTTTTTTCATTTCAATGTGTAGCCCTAAGTTTGCATTCACAAAGTTTTTTACATTCTATTTCCTTAGTTTATTTAACTTCTATTGCCTTGTGAAAAAAGGCCATGAGGTGACATAGGAAACAATAAAAGGTTATTATTACTGATAACAATAATAAGTTACGGCAGCATCTGGAGGACTCAAACTTCTGTACCAGGAAAGATAATGGAAAAAATAATTAAGCAATCAATTTGCAAACACCTAGAAGATAATAAGGTGATAAATAACAGTCAGCATGGATTTGTCAAGAACAAATCATGTCAAACCAACCTGATAGCTTTCTTTGACAGGGTAACAAGCCTTGTAGATAGGGGGGAAGCGGTAGATGTGGTATATCTTGACTTTAGTAAGGCTTTTGATACTCTCTCGCATGACCTTCTCATAAACAAACTAGGGAAATACAACTTAGATGGAGATACTATAAGATGGGTGCAAAATCATTGGAAGAGATACTATAAGGTTGGAAAATCATTCCCAGAGAGTAGTTATCACTAGTTCACAGCCATGCTGGAAGGACATAACGAGTGGGGTCCTGTAGGGATCAGTTCTGGATCCGGTTCTGTTCAATATCTTCATCAGTGATTTAGATAATGGCATAGAGAGTACACTTATAAAGTTTGTGGACGATACCAAACTGGGAGGGATTGCAAGTGCTTTGGAAGATAGGATTAAAATTCAAAATGATCTGGACAAACTGGAGAAATGGTTTGAAGTAAACAGGATGAAATTCAATAAGGACAAATGCAAAGTACTCCACTTAGGAAGGAACAATCAGTTGCGCACATACAAAATGGGAAATGACTGCCTAGGAAGGAGTATTGCAGAAAGGGATCTGGGGGTCATAGTGGATCACAAGCTAAATATGAGTCAACAGTGTAACACTGTTGCAAAAAAGAAAAAACATTATTCTGGGCTGTATTAGCAGGAGTATTGTAAGCAAAACACAAGAAGTAATACTTCCGCTCTACTCTGCGCTGATTAGGCCTCAACTGGAGTATTGTGTCCATTTCTGGGTGCCACATTTCAGGAAGGATGTGGACAAATTGGAGAAAGTCCAGAGAAGAGCAACAAAAATGATTAAAGGTCTAGAAACATGACCTATGAGGGAAGATTGAAAAAGTTGGGTTTGTTTAGTCTGGAGAAGAGAAGACTGAGAGGGGACATGATAACAGTTTTGAAGTACATAAAAGGTTGTTACAAGGAGGAGGGAGAAAAATTGTTCTCCTTACCCTCTGAGGATAGGACAAGAAGCAATTAAAATGCAGCAAGGGCGGTTTAGGTTGGACATTAGGAAAAACTTGCTCTCATTGTCAAGGTGGTTAAACACTGGAATAAATTGCCTAGGGAGGTTGTGGAATCTCCATCGCTGGAGATTTTTAAGAGCAGGTTGGACAAACAGGGATGGTCTAGATAATACTTAGTCCTGCCATGAGTGCCTGGGACTGGACTAAATGACCTCTCGAGGTCCCTTCCAGTCCTATGAGTTTATGATTCTATGAGATCAGGACTAGGGAAGTCAGCTTATCAAGGTTTTCCCAGGATCGTCCCTTTTTCGAGGCAGCTGTGCTGGGACGTCTGTAAGGGTGCTCAGTATACACTGCCAGCTGCCCAGTTTTGGGGCTCAGGATCATTCTGGATATCCCAGAGTTTTGGACCTCAGAGGTGGCATGGCAGCCCTAGTTGTGTGTTAGGTGCTGTACACACACACACACGGAATCCGGCGGAGCCTGCTTCCACTGAAGTCAGTGGCAGAACTCTCATTGACGTCAATGGGGCAGGATCAGGCCCATTGTGAGACACAGTCTCTGCCCCAAAGAATTTACAACCTATATGGTCAAAACAAAGGGTGGGGACATGTTATGGAATCAGCGTGCCAGGGGGTGACAGGACTTCAGAGGATATGGGAAATGAGCCCCAATATTAAGAGGCCTGCAAACCCAATACAGCCGCCTTGCTGTGAGAAAGGAGTGAGTCATTCACAGCCAGTCATTTATTCTGGGAGTTTTTCTTCTTTTTTCTGCTGGTGGATGGGGCAGGGCAGATGGTGGTTTCCTCCCATTTAGCCAATTTCTATTTGGATTTTTTACCTTGGGAAGCAGCTGTGAATGTCTGTCATTTGATCTCTCTTGGCTTGCTTGTGATTGGCTAGACAAACCACATGGTACTTTTTTCTGTTCCCTGATTGGATGAGGGTAATTATATTTGCCCAGCAGAAAAATTCATGCCCAGTGAACCCAGAAGGGGGCAGCAGGTGCAACGTTAGAGTCTTGGGAAATGCTCCCTGCCCTCCTGCACAGGATGTGTGGGGAGCTGGGCCCCGAGCTGAAGCCTGGGCAAGTTGTAGGGGATCAGCTCAGACCCCCTGAGTGGGTGCACAGAGTTTGGGGGAGAAGGGGGTCACTGGGGTGCTGCTGGCCAGAGAGACACTCAGCCTTGCTGGCAGGCTTTCAGGGAGAAAGAAAACAATATTTACCTCTTGTTTTCCCCTTGTCTGGCACCATCCCAGGAAGCACTTCCTGCAAACAGTGGGAAAATTCACTCGGGGCCAGAATAAAGGGAAGCGAGGGGGATCAGCGAGGCGGCGGGCCGGACGATGATGGCGTCTCCTGGGACAGAGGATGTGACCTGAAGAATGATGAGTCAGGGTGAAAGGTAAATACCCTGCATGCTCCAGCCCCTGCCCTCTGGGCCCAAGAGAATCATACTGTGCATTTCCCCGGCTCCTGCTGCCTGAGGAGCTCAAAGCCTGGTCACCCAATGCCCTGAGGGTTAGGGCAGGGTTACAATCCCCATTTTGCAGATGGGGAAACTGAGGCACCGAGCGACTGAGTGACTTGCCCAAGGCTGCAGAGAAAATCAGGGGCGGAGCTCGGGCTTTTCTGCTTCCCACCCCTGTGCCGAGTCATGCCCACTCTTCTATGCTTCCTCGTCTGGCTGCTGCTCATGTCACCCCCGGCATCACCCCAGCAATGGGCAGCCCCGGGCTGGAATCGCAGGGCAGGTTGTGGGTGCGGGTGGGAGGGCATTGGCAAGGCTAGAAGGCTTCTTTTGGGATCAACCCTCACCTAGAGGCCACAAAGGTCCCTTGTTGTAGCTTAGGGCACCCAGCACCGGAGCTTAAAACCCTGGCTTTAGCACTGATCCCTTTGCTCTAGTCTAGAGGTTTTAGCTCATCCACAGGCTTTGCTGGGACCAGAGTCCCCAGCTCCTCTCTGGCGGCCTTCAGCTAAGTGCGGTTCAAGGCTATGATGCAATTGTCCTGCTGCTCTTATCAGCCATGACCAGGGGTCAAAGGAAGCACCTGGAGCAGGCCGAGAGTGCCAGGGGCAGGCAGGGTGTAATATGGGGCGAGGGAGGCCAAGGTGACCCTAATCACACTCCACAGTCCCTTGTTGCCAAAATCCGGCAGCGGGGGGACGTGCAGTGTTTGTGGCAGGTCTGAGCCAAGCCAACGGAGGGGGAAAGACAACGAGGAGAGAAGCACGTGGGCAAAAACATTCCTGGGTCCAAGGGACGGATACCGGATACTTGTTGTGAACCACTTCGGGGGATGATGGGGGGCTGGGAAGGCCGTGTTAACAGAGGGAGCTTGTGGGGTGATGGGGGGGCTGGCTGGGAAAGCCATGTTAACAGAAGTTGCTCGTATACTCAGCTCTTTATTTGGGGAGGAGAAAGCGGAAGGATCAGAGAGGGGAGGTCAGAGCCGGGCTGCTCAGCCTGGGAGGAGAAGGGGGTGTGCGGAGTTGCCCTATGGGTCCCCCAGGTTAGCCAATATTTGGGGCCTTGCTGGGTTGTTTCCGTTAGGAGGACAAATTGAAGATGGAGCCAGGTCTCTTCTTGGGTCCAGTCCTGTTTATTTACAAAGGCTGGCCACCCAGCCCTGCATCTCGGAACACACCAGCTGCGGCCAGCAGTTTCCTGGCTCAGAAGCCCCCACGCCTGCCCCTGCCGGACCTTCTGGGAGATTGGCTTAAA